TATATTATCCGAATACCCTGTCTTGCATATGTTATCCAATTGAGTCTGAACCAACTTCTTGATCGCTTGAAAGCAGTCCCTCTAAATGATACTGCTGAGACCAAATGGTCTGATCGCCAATCAATACTCGCGAAAGCAAATGCCCAAAGCAAAAATCGCAGTATATCTTATACTTTGAACAAGGTACGGTATCTTGCTGTTTATATCCGGGCTAGTCCCCAACGTCGCGAAGCTTTTGTCAGTCTTCAGCCCTCAGAGCAGGCACTTATACCACTTCAGGATATAAAGACTAGGTGGAACTCAACGTTTCTTATACTTCGCCGGGCAAAGAGGCTCCGTGATTTCCTTGGTATATTCTGTACAGACTACAACTGCGAGGAGATGGCACTTAACAACGACGAATGGCGTCAGATCGATTACCTTCTTTGTCTTACAAAGCCATTCTACGAATACACTCTTGCGCTTTTAAAGACTCGAGATGTGACTGCACATCTAGTATTCCAGATCTACAACATGTTGTTTAAGCACCTTGAGAAGTCTATCAAGCAGCTTCAACGAAAGCGTGTCCCATGGAAACAACAGATACTTTCCTCCCTTGAGGCTGGCCGATTGAAGCTTGATAAGTACTATTCGCAGACAGATCATGATCGTGATCACCTTTATGCGATTAGTACTATGCTGGCGCCAGATAACAGGTTCCAATTCTTTCTCTCCGATGATTGGACGAAGGAATGGCGTGATAAATATCGAGCCTTATTCCAAGATACTCTCTTACCTTACCAAGAGCGTTATGCTACTAGTTAAGGCCTACCAGTCTCCTCTCCTGGATTAAGGCCAAGCACAGCTCTTTATAATCTGCTTCGCCCAAAGAAACCTAAAGCGAAGCCGGTTGGTGACGAGATAACCCAGTATCTTGATAGTGGTAAGTTATACTCTTCTTCTGATCTTATTTCGATGAATATTCGTTACTAATTCTATATAGATATTGTTGATTCTGAGCCGCTGCCCTTTTGGCGAGAGAACCACGGTCGCTTTCCTGCGATTGCTTCGCTTGCGCGGGATATTCTTACAATTCCAGCAACTGGTGCAGGTGTAGAACGATTATTCAACACTGCTCGCGATATTTGCCATTATCGCCGCGGTCGTATAAAGTCTGAGACTATTGAAGAGTTGATGCTATTTCTTTGTTCTTCAAGATTTGACCTTGAATTACATGAGGCAAAAGAGCTTGAACGATTCTTCTCTTTGAATAAGATCGAAGTATTAAGAGAGGAAAAGGACGATAAGCTTAATAATGTTGAATTTGAACAGATTAGTGATACAGAAGAACAGCCTGAGAGCTCGGGGGGTTTGATTGATGTTGATGATGATAATACTGGTGATGATGATGCTGGCGATCCTCCATTGCCAATTTATAGTACTCAGCCACGTATGTCAGGGAGGAAAAGGAAGCATATAGAGGATGATATGTATCAGTCTCATTAGTTTACACTGGATTTAATCATAATACATTGATATATGCGTGAACGAATCAACGATTTATTGAATTTGAAGTGAACGATGTAATCGAAATACTCAAAATTACTGGGAATTCCTGCATTATTTGTGCAGTCACGAGAAATTGGCATGTTTGCACTGTTTAGTCGTAGGGGGGGGGGCTCGGGGGCCCCCCCCCTTCGAGCTGTGGGCCCAAGCCTAAAGCCCGAAACTCGCTGTGGGCTTTGACCTTAGGCTCGAAACCCGACCCTTTTGAGGGTCGGGTCGGGTCGGGTTTCGGGCTTTTCGAGCTTTGCGGAAGTCTAACCCTATTATCCTACCCAATATATTATTGCAGGGTATTCGGGAGGCTGTCTGTACTGGCCAGATAAAGCGCGGCCGGGTGAGCGTCCCACCGCCCATACGTCACGCCCCGAGCGGTCGCCTGCACTGTACTCGTACTTCGTACTCTCCGAGCCCATTTAAGTGGACTAAAGTACTTGAACAGGGATAATTTTATTCCTGCGTTTTACTAAATAGAATCATTAGTTTTACGATACTAAATAACTGGCCCTTACAAAAATTACTATTTCTTATAGACCCTCGATTGGTGAAGGTTTCAATATCCTCAATCTTGATATCTCTGCCTTTCTGAGGTGAATCAAAACTGAATCCAAGCTGTGTTGAAGTTTCATGAACTTGATTGCTTTCACTATTCCAAATGATGGACATTGGAAGCGGGACAGCCATCTACTTAGCGAAATTAGTTCCTTCGTACTAATATATACGGATCCACCTATAGATATGGTCTTATGTATAGCTGAAAGTAATCCTAGGTATAAGGGAGATGGCGCGGTTTCTTACGTCGGGTGTTCCTTTCTAGGCTCTCCGGCCTTTTGGGGTAGCGCCTTCCTTTCCTAGATCTTATACTCCGGCTAGTCAGTCGGGTTCGGTAAAATTTGAGCTGGCCTAGACTCTTGAAAATACGTACGAACTTCCAAAGCAGGATAGCGCAGGTCTTCAGTGAGGCTCAATTGGTACGATCCACCGCCGTGGGTCAAACCTCCTTTGAATCTTATTGTGTTTACAACGCCGATCCTGTGCACAGTCTCTTCCATAGGGACCAGAAAAGTATCTGTGCGTAGCTTGCAGGGGAAGTCACTACCGTTGTAAGCAAGAGGAGAGTTGTTGAGAGTTTTCTTACTGTAGGGCTCAGGCGATATCATAATCAGATACCCGCTCCAGGGCTGACAACCCGTAAGACGATTATCTCTAATAGTAGAAAGTATTTAAAGAGCATTGTAGGGGTAGTAGACTCGGTCGATATTCACTATAATAAATTATTCGTGTACCACTTGACCGATTGTGGTCTTACGTAGAGGCCAAATAATTTGGAATACGAGGAAATCATTGATTTCTATAAAATACAACGCAAGCCACAACACTATTTTTATTTAGATCATTGTGAATAAAAAGTTGATGCGATTTAGGAATTGTTGCTCGAAGTTCTTGCCTTGAAGTTATCCGCTACGACTGGAAACGACTTACGGCTGTTAATTTGAGATCTGAATCGCTTGAAGAGCCAAATCAGTATCTATATATACGTTTCGATGAATTTAGTGATTCTGGTAATTGATTGGAAAAGTTCGTAGATATGAACACCGTTGATTGATCGCTGGTGAGCCTATGGCGCGCTATTTCAGATAATTGAGGGCTTGTGTCGACTTAGGGTGCCTTTTGGCGATCAATTAAGCGAAACAGACATATATCCTCAGCTGCTAGGCGTGTGAGTCTTTGAATATTGCTGCTGTCAATTATTTCACTTTGAGGATTTTAAAAATTCCAAATTCGATCTACATTACAGGACCGTTATGTCTCTCGAATCTCGATAGAAAACACCTCCTAACAAAGTCCTGCTGCCTTCGCTAGTGCGGGTGTTCGAATATTATCTCTCTAAATGAGCGCTCACTTCAAGTCGTAAATGAACATGGTAAACGCAGTCACCAAAGAGCGCAAAGAAGAAGAGAAACGCTGTGCGAAAAACAGCGTGAACATATTCTTCTGAATGTACTGCAGACATTCACCGCGTCCTTTGCACGAAGAAAACTGGCCAGATATACATCATGACCCCCATTTCAGAGCTGGCCACTTTCAGAAGACCAATTGGTATATTGTGCCTTTCGCTAAACGGATCAAAGCGTACAAGAGTATGCACAATATCTCTAGGAGTTTTATTATCACATTCCTATTGAAAGACGTTTGAATGGCTCGGAGTCAAGGCCGAGGAATGAGTTACCTAAAGCTAGCATTTGAAAGTCGACTTAAGGGGAATAGGCAAGCATCATAGAAGCTTTCTGTGTCGCAAGCTCTCGACGCTGAATGTCTCTGCTTCGAACATCTTGAGATGAGAGCTCCAGAAAATGCACAAAAGTTCTAAGAATCATTTGTCTCATTGCAGTCAATAATTTGGCGAAAGAACCGGAAATAACTTCACTTTTCAAGAGTTCATTTTAGATCCCATAATACTGAATGCGACGGTGGTTGAGTCTGATAATGGTTCGGCGTTATTTAAACTTCTTCCATCGTTGCAGATGCATAACTTGATGTCGAAAAAACAGATAGCCTTCGCATCTGTAGATTGCCAGCAGCGATCCGAATTTGTGGAATTTTTAGGCGCCTGGTGCATGTCGGAAGAGCTCAACCGATGGTTTGACATCCGTAAGAGAATTTCATGTAAATTACAGATGTCATTCAAGAAAGCGGTCCCAATAGCGGTCTCAAAGGCGGTCTTAAAAGCGACAGCAAGCGGCATTGAAAGCGATCCTAGGACCCTGTCAAAATTTAGCCGGTGTTGCTTGGAGATAACCAACATTAGTTGGCTTGACAGAAAGGATCTTCATATACTATGTTAACCACTATAGCCTATGAGGCTATTCCACAAAGCTTCCCTTAGGATATGCTAAAAGCTTGATGCAAGTGACCTTATTCACAAATATCAGGCACCTAAATACTTGGCCTAGTGCGAGGATGAATTCATTGTAGCAAAAACAAACTGTTCAGGACTTATCCCACTGATATATATTATGTATGCAGGCAAACCTATCCTTGAGGTTATTTTTATTAAGATAAGCGCTACAATATATCCATTCTTAGATGTCTTTGATACATTTGTATGAACGAATATTAGACTACCTAAATCATCAATGCCAACTAATCCTTTGGGTGATGTATTTAGTATTGAGGGGAATATAATTCAACTCTCAGACACCAGAATTTGAATGAAGTTCAAAAACTAGGGGGTTATCTACAATATACTCAACACTCAGGACAAAATAAAGAAGAGACCTACATAGGTACCTATGTAGTATGTAGTTAGTGATTATGTACGGTTGTACCTAGTAGGTACTCCGTAGATGGTTGAGAGTGTCAGGGTCGCACGGAGTCGGGAACTCCAAACTGGTCCGTGCACCCCTTGACCTTCTCCAAGCCTCACACATGACCCTCCCTCTACCATCCAACTTGATGCGCTCCGCGTCTTTTTATTTTATGGCCTAGACCTTGTATTCCAATGTCCACCCTGGGGTGTGATTCGAAAATATGGCCCAAGCAGGTGCAATCACAGACGTGACCCAAAGGTTGTTCGTGGAGCTCAAGTCAAAGAATGAGGAGGCCAGGGCCAGAGCTGCCTACGAGCTCTATGATAATGTCCTATCTGTGTCTAGAGGTACCGACAGTTGAACTCCGAGGCCTCTAATTAGCTAGCTGACATAAGTCCTTCTACAGATTGGCCATCGGAGAAGTTCGTGGAATTTTACAACGCAGTTAGCCAACGCATCGCCCAACTCGTGGTCAACGGCAGCGATGCAAACGAAAGAATCGGTGGCTTGTTAGCACTCGATCGGCTCATTGACTTTGACGGTGTCGATGCGGCCCAGAAAACGACGAGATTTGCCAGTTACTTGCGCAGCGCCCTTCGCAGCAATGATAACGTGGTTTTGGTGTATGCGGCCCGATCGCTGGGCCGCCTCGCGAAGCCCGGCGGGGCTTTAACCGCAGAACTGGTGGAAAGCGAAATACAATCCGCATTAGAATGGCTACAATCGGAGCGTCAGGAAAGTCGGCGGTTTGCAGCAGTGCTTGTGATCCGGGAACTTGCTAAGGGCTCACCCACACTCCTCTATGGCTTTGTTCCACAGGTGTTTGAGCTTGTCTGGGTTGCCCTTCGAGATCCGAAAGTCCTCATTCGTGAGACCGCCGCCGAGGCCGTAGGTGAATGTTTTGAAATAATCGTGGCTCGTGATTCTCAAGTCCGTCAATCATGGTTTGCACGGATATACGATGAAGCGCTTCTGGGATTGAAGTCCCATAACATCGATTGGATTCATGGCTCCATTTTGATCATCAAAGAGTTGATCTTGAAAGGTACAATGTTCATGAAAGAACATTATCGCAATGCCTGTGAAATCATCCTCCGTCTCAAGGACCATCGTGACCCAAAGATTCGCACCGAAGTCGTCCTCACCATCCCCATCCTCGCCTCATATGCCCCCACCGATTTCATTGAGATCTATCTACACAAATTCATGGTCTATCTCCAAGCACAACTTAAGAGAGACAAAGAGAGGAACTCCGCCTTCATTGCCATTGGAAAGATTGCCAATGCAGTGGGCACCGCTATCAGCCAATATCTCGATGGCATCATTATCTACATTCGAGAGGGACTTGCAATGAAGGCGAGGAATCGGTCGGGAGTTAATGAGGCGCCAATGTTCGAGTGCATCAGCATGCTCGCCCTCGCAGTGGGACAGGCGCTCAGCAAATACATGGAGGCTCTTCTGGATCCCATTTTTGCCTGCGGACTGAGCAAGTCATTAACACAGGCTCTGGTCGACATGGCCCATTACATTCCTCCCATCAAACCTATGATCCAGGAAAAGCTTCTTGATATGCTGAGTATCATCCTTTGTGGAACCCCCTTCCGCCCCCTCGGGTGTCCTGAAAACCGACTACCTCCTATGCCATCATTTGCAAAAGACTTTGCACCCCACGAGCTTCATTCCGATTCCGATATCGCATTAGCACTCCATACGTTGGGTAGCTTTGACTTCTCTGGGCACATACTGAACGAGTTCGTACGTGATGTTGCTATCAACTATGTGGAAAATGATAATCCTGAAATTCGAAAAGCGTCAGCTCTTACATGCTGTCAGCTGTTCGTTCACGATCCGATCATCAATCAAACCAGCGGACACTCCATTCAAGTTGTCAGCGAAGTTATTGACAAGCTCTTGACTGTGGGTATCGGAGACCCTGACCCTGAAATCCGACGCACCGTTTTGTGGTCGTTGGACCGCAAATTCGATCGTCACTTGGCACGACCAGAGAATATTCGATGTTTGTTCTTAGCAGTCAATGACGAGGTTTTCGATGTCAAAGAAGCTGCGATCTGCATTATCGGTCGACTCTCCAGCGTCAACCCTGCGTATGTCTTCCCGCCACTACGAAAACTGCTGGTCAATCTTCTCACTGGCCTTGGCTTTGCGAATACCGCCCGCCAAAAGGAGGAAACAGCTCAACTCATCAGCTTGTTTGTCTCTAATGCGACGAAATTGATCAGGTCATACGTTGATCCTATGGTGACTGCATTGCTGCCTAAATCAACAGACATTAATCCTGGCGTCGCTGCCACTACTTTGAAGGCTGTTGGTGAGCTAGCTAACGTCGGTGGCCATGAGATGAGACAATATTTACCGCAGATTATGCCCATTATCCTGGACTCACTCCAGGACCTCTCGTCACATACCAAACGTGAAGCTGCGCTTCGGACATTGGGGCAGTTGGCGAGCAATTCAGGTTACGTCATCGAGCCATACATGGAATACCCCCATCTCCTCGCTGTGCTCATTAATATCATCAAAACGGAACAGACAGGCTCTCTGCGCAAGGAGACCATCAAGCTTCTCGGAGTTCTGGGCGCCCTTGATCCCTACAAGTACCAACAGATCAGCGAGATTGAACCTGATGTCCACCATATCAACGAAATACAGAATGTTTCTGATGTTGCTCTCATTATGCAGGGTCTCACTCCCTCCAATGAGGAGTATTATCCCACGGTGGTTATCCATACTTTGATGCAGAACATTCTACGAGAAAATTCCCTGGCGCAATATCACTCAGCTGTCATTGATGCGATCGTCACAATCTTCAAGACTCTGGGCCTGAAATGTGTCCCATTCCTTGGACAAATAATTCCGGGGTTCATCTTGGTTATCAGAAGCGCTCCTGCTAGCCGTCTTGAGTCCTATTTCAATCAGATGGCGATCTTGGTGAATATCGTGCGACAGCATATTCGCACTTTCTTGCCAGAGATAATCGAGGTCATTAGAGATTTCTGGGATGCTTCATATCAAATCCAGGGTACGATTATATCCTTGGTCGAAGCGATTGCTAGGTCGTTGGAGGGAGAATTCAGGAAGTATCTTGCTGGCCTGATTCCTTTGATGCTCGATACACTCGATAAAGACACTTCGCCTCGTCGCCAGCCCTCCGAGAAGATTCTTCATGCCCTTTTGATTTTCGGCACAAGTGGAGAAGAATACATGCATCTCATCATTCCTTCCATTGTTCGTCTGTTTGATCGACCACAAAACCCTCAGAGCATCCGCAAGTCTGCTATCGATAGCTTGACAAAACTATCGCGGCAAGTCAATGTCTCCGACTTTGCATCTCTAATGATTCACTCCCTGTCACGAGTCGTGGCTAGCGGCGATCGCGTGTTGCGTCAAGCGGCGATGGATTGCATTTGTGCTCTCATTTTCCAACTTGGACAGGACTTCACGCATTACATTCATCTTCTAAACAAAGTCCTCAAAACTCATCAGATCACGCATGTCAACTACCAAATCCTGGTGACGAAACTCCAGAAGGGCGATCCCCTCCCGCAGGACCTCAATCCAGAAGAGGTTTATGCTTTCCCTACCGATGACACCAACTTTTCCGAAATTGGACAGAAGAAGATTGTTGTAAACCAGCAGCATCTCAAGAATGCTTGGGATGCTTCCCAAAAGTCCACTCGTGAGGATTGGCAGGAATGGATACGCCGTTTCAGCATTGAGCTGTTAAAGGAATCCCCATCCCCGGCATTGCGTGCATGTGCTAGTTTGGCAGGAATCTACCAGCCACTATCAAGGGACCTTTTCAATGCTGCTTTTGTCTCATGCTGGACTGAGTTGTATGATCAATACCAAGAAGAGCTCGTTCGCTCAATTGAAAAGGCGCTTACTTCTCAGAATATCTCCCCAGAGATTTTGCAAATTCTCCTCAATCTGGCCGAATTCATGGAACACGATGACAAGGCTCTCCCCATCGACATCCGCACTCTTGGAAAATATGCAGCAAAATGCCATGCTTTTGCTAAAGCTCTTCACTACAAAGAACTCGAGTTTGAGCAAGACCAGAACTCGGGTGCTGTTGAAGCCTTGATTACCATCAACAACCAGCTCCAGCAGTCCGACGCTGCCATTGGTATTCTTCGCAAAGCGCAGGCGTATCGTGATGTGGAGCTCAAGGAAACGTGGTTCGAGAAGCTTCAGCGGTGGGACGAAGCCCTTGCTGCTTACAAGCGACGCGAAAAGACGGACCCAGACTCATTTGGCATCACAATGGGTAAGATGCGATGTTTGCACGCTCTTGGCGAATGGAAGGTTCTCTCGGACCTCGCTCAAGAAAAGTGGAACCAAGCATCACTGGAGCATCGCCGAGCTATTGCACCTCTTGCTGCTGCCGCTGCCTGGGGTCGGGGCCAGTGGGAGTTGATGGACTCTTACCTTGGTGTCATGAAAGAGCAGACTCCAGACCGCTCATTCTTCGGTGCCATTCTGGCAATCCATCGTAACCAATTCGAGGAGGCCAACATGTACATCGAGAAAGCTCGCAATGGTCTCGATACAGAATTGTCTGCTCTTCTTGGAGAGTCATATAACCGCGCGTACAATGTTGTTGTCCGGGTGCAAATGCTCGCTGAGCTAGAAGAGATCATCACATACAAGCAAAACATCGGCGACCCTGAAAAGCAAGATGCCATGCGTAAAACGTGGAATCAAAGATTGCTTGGGTGCCAGCAAAACGTGGAAGTGTGGCAGCGTATGCTCAAGGTCAGAGCTCTTGTCACAGCCCCACGTGAGAACCTTGACATGTCTATCAAGTTCGCCAATCTTTGTCGCAAGTCCAATCGCATGGGTCTTGCGGAGCGGTCCCTTGCATCTTTAGAGACAATGGTGGCCGATGCCAATGGAATGCGCACTATAATACCACCCGAGGTCACATATGCCAGGCTGAAATTCAGTTGGGCAAATGGCCAACAACTAGAATCTCTTGAAATGATGAAAGAGTTCACCTCTGGTCTGACCGATGATTTTTCCAGATACAACACATTCATGGTATCAAATGCTGATCACCACGGCGTGAATGGAGTCAACGGGGTCGCCGATCAGAACCACCCAGATGTTATCAGACTGAAAGAACGGATTGGTGATGATCCCAGCAAATTCAGAAAACTGCTTTCTAAGAGCTATCTGAGGCAGGGAGAATGGCAGACAACCTTACAGAGGGGTGATTGGAGGCCGGAGAACGTTCGAGATGTCCTCAACGCTTATTCGGCGGCAACCCAATACAACCGCGATTCATACAAGGCGTGGCACTCCTGGGCACTTGCAAATTTCGAAGTTGTTACAACGATTGCCAACCAGGCTAGTCGTGAGGGCATGCCTGCACCGGTTCCTCCTCATATCGTTACAGAGCATGTAATTCCTGCCGTTCGCGGATTCATTCGCTCAATCGCTTTGTCCTTGACATCGTCGTTGCAAGACACATTAAGATTACTCACTTTGTGGTTTAATCATGGCGGAGATCATGACGTGAATACTGTCGTCACGGAAGGATTTACGACTGTCAATATTGACACTTGGCTTGCTGTTACTCCTCAACTGATCGCTCGAATCAACCAACCCAACATCAGGGTGCGGGGTGCGGTTCATAGGTTGCTTGCCGAGGTTGGCAAAGCGCATCCTCAAGCCCTTGTGTATCCACTGACGGTGGCAATGAAATCAAATGTGACTCGACGCTCTCAATCTGCTAGCAACATCATGGAAAGTATGCGGCAACATAGCGCCAAGCTTGTTGAGCAAGCAGATCTTGTGAGTCATGAGCTTATCCGAGTTGCGGTCTTGTGGCATGAACTCTGGCATGAAGGTCTGGAAGAAGCCTCTCGTCTCTATTTCGGTGATCACAATGTTGAAGGCATGTTTTCAACACTTGCTCCCTTCCATGATATGCTAGACAAGGGCGCTGAGACCCTTCGTGAGGTGTCATTTGCGCAAGCGTTTGGTCGTGATCTAGCTGAAGCGAAGCACTACTGTATGATGTATCGCGAGTCGGAGGAAATTGGCGATCTCAACCAAGCTTGGGATTTATATTACACTGTGTTCCGCAAGATCAGTCGACAACTGCCACAGCTATCGACTCTCGATCTTAAATACGTATCTCCTCGACTCAAGGATTGTTCAGATCTTGACCTTGCGGTTCCAGGAACATACCAGAGCGGTAAGCCAGTTATTCGGATCATGAGCTTTGACCCGATCTTGCATGTGTTGCAGACAAAGAAACGACCGCGTCGCATGACGCTCAAGGGCAGCAACGGAAGCTCTTATATGTACCTTGTCAAGGGCCATGAAGACATCCGACAAGATGAGCGAGTCATGCAACTTTTCGGCTTGTGCAATACCCTGCTGGATAATGATGGCGAGAGCTTCAAGCGACACTTGTCAGTCCAGCGCTTCCCTGCTATTCCATTGTCTCAGAGCTCTGGTCTGCTGGGATGGGTGTCAAACAGTGATACGTTGCATGCCTTGATCAAGGAATATCGTGAAAGCCGTCGGATCCTACTCAACATCGAGCACCGGATCATGCTTCAAATGGCACCCGATTATGATAGCCTCACTCTCATGCAAAAGGTCGAAGTCTTCGGTTACGCCATGGACAATACGACCGGCAAAGATCTGTACCGGGTGCTATGGCTCAAGAGCAAGAGCTCCGAGGCATGGCTCGAACGTCGTACGAACTACACTCGATCGCTTGGTGTTATGTCTATGGTCGGCTACATCCTTGGTCTGGGCGACAGACATCCATCGAACTTGTTGCTGGATCGTGGTAATGGACGTGTGGTTCATATCGACTTTGGTGATTGTTTCGAGATCGCAATGCACCGAGAGAAGTACCCCGAGCGAGTTCCGTTCCGACTTACTCGCATGTTGACATTCGCCATGGAAGTCAGCAACATTGAGGGTAGCTACCGTATCACTTGCGAGGCTGTCATGCGTGTTCTACGAGAGCATAAGGATTCCTTGATGGCAGTTTTGGAGGCTGTAAGTGACCTGATTTTTTGGCGTGTTAGAACCGCAACCACTAACTTTTACTTTTCTAGTTCATTCACGACCCTCTAATCAACTGGCGTCTGGGTACACAAGATTCCTCCCCCGACCGAGTCTCCCTCCCCGCAGATCGTCGCGGGTCCATCATGGACGGTGTCAATTTCGAACCCGGCAATCAACCAGCTGATTTCTCTCGCCGCCGCCGCCCGTCCATGCTGGAGGGTGGTATTCTCGATGCTCCAGAAGGCGTTCCACAAGAAGCCCGCGAGGCACAGAATGCCCGTGCTCTCCAGGTTCTCGCCCGAGTCAAGGAGAAGCTCACTGGACGAGACTTCAGAAATACCGAAGAGCTGAGTGTCAGCGACCAGGTGGACAAGCTCATTGCGCAGGCAACCAATGTTGAGAATATCTGTCAACACTGGATTGGATGGTGTAGTTTCTGGTAATCTGGCTTTGCTCTTGGGGTTCCATGGCAATGATGATATGATATGATGCGTTTTGTTTCGATTCCTCACCTTGTACTTAGAGTTAAACCCCGTCATTTGCTATTTTCTCGTTTTTATTTCTAACTTCTCCTACCACAACTCTAATGCTTCTTCTGCTTTATGGTTAATTCTGCTCCCTCGGTAGTTGTGTGAGATTGTATGGTTATCTTGGCTATGACACCTTTGCAAGTTAAAGGAGACAAAGGGAAAACCCTTTTTTGTTATTGTAGTTTATTCAATATATTCACCTAACACATTGCATATCAAAAAAGAGTGTATACCTACTCTGTACGGAGTAGTCAGTTCTCAGATAATGAGAACACGTGATCGGTGGCAATTGAGCTTTAGGTCCTGACGGGGATTTACCTTTGGACATACCAACTTCCTCATACCAACTTTTTTTTTTGATTCTTCGCATTTTCAAGCATCATGGGTGGAGACTTGAACCTGAAGAAGTAAGTACCAAGTTCCGGCTCCAACATCTGCTCCGAGAGAGAAGCGTAACTAACAACCGCCAACCAGGTCATGGCACCCAGGCTTGATCAAAAACCAGGAGCGCGTATGGCTGGAAGAGAAGCGCGCTCTCGACGAGCGCAAACAGATCGCGCAGTTACGACGTGAACGAGAGGAGGAGCGCCAAATGGAAGAGATTCAACGCCTCCAAGAAGCTTCCGGAAAGACAAAGCAAGTCAGCCGAGTCGACTGGATGTACCAGGCACCCTCGACCGAGACCGGTCACTACTCAGAGGAGATGGAGGGATATCTGCTGGGCAAGCGACGCATCGACGGAGTCCTCCTGAAGAATGACCCCGATACTAAGAAGCTGGAGAAGGGTTCGGAGGTTGTGGGCAATGGTACCGCGGCTGGCCCATCTATTGTCTCGGCGCGCGACACCATGTCGAAGGTTATGGCGGACCCTCTACTTGAAGTGAAGAAGAGAGAACAGGCGGCTTACGAGGCGATGGTGAAAGAGACGCTCAGACGCAAGGAAAAAGAGAAGGAACGTGGAGATCGTGATCGGGGAAAGGATCGTGACCGTCGTCATCGCACCCAAGACTCAAAGCGCAGGCGCTATAGTGATGATGCTGGCGATGAGCGCCGTGACCGCCCCCACCGAAGATCTTCACCTCGACGACACCGATCTAGATCACCCGGTTCGCCCGATCGATCTACCCGCAAACACCGAAGTGATCGCGATCGTGAACCTCGCGACGATAACTACCGCCCAGACAACCGTGATCGGAGGAGCGATGAGCACAGATCTCGCCGAGATGATAGGGACCGGGGCCGAGACCGTCGCGATTATCAAGACAAGAGAGACTCCCACTCCGGTCGACACCACGATCGCGAAGACAGAGGTTCCCGGCGAGACCGTTCACTGTCCCGGAACTCCCGATCTCCTCGCCCATCCAGCGATCGCAAAGAACGCCCTGCCGCTGACGAAGATCGCCGCCGTGACTTCTCCCGGCGCGAGTACAATAATCGGCGTGACTCTGGCAGGGCTATGGGGCCACCCTCGACCCGTACACCAACAAACAAGCCCGATACCAAGGAACTGGAAGAAGAACGCCGCCGCAAGTTGGAAGAAATGCAATCTAACGCCGCAGAAATTGAATCAGAGCGACTTCGGCGAATTGCGGAGATATCTGCCAAGGAGGAAGTACAACGGGAGGCTGACGATCAGCAACGTTCAGACCGGGGCAGGTTCATGTCTGATGTCAATAAGCGAGTACAGGAAGATACACTTGATGAACGTATTCGGCGTAGCCGTGGTGGACTCGCGAAGCTGGAACAGGATTAAGACTGTTTTGGTTTCTAAATAGGACTAGAGGACTAAAAGGCTCGAATAATGAATGGATATCAATGACTTATGTATTAAAATTGCTGGTAACGCTAAAAGTAAAACAAGAATTTGTGAATATAGAAACCGGTCACAGCAAATGCCTACATACCTGCATGTGTGTTATAGCATCTAATCCCCTTACTCTTCTGGGGATATGAGGAGCTTTGAAAGAGCCATCATTGTGGACCGCGCAGCTCACTGTATTTCGTTTCGAGCAAAAGGGGGGGGGTCATCCTTCCAGCCTGTGAGACCCAAGTTCTTAGGCACACGTTCAAACAGCCAGCATACTGAAGCGCGCTAACCCGAAGATCTCTTAGGATTCCCCGATAGCTTGGTGCCTTCTGACTGCGTTTCTCTTCTAGGGACTCTTCAGCACAGTAGCTATCCCCGCGACAAAGTTCAACAAACGGTCTCCGTCGGTTCTTTGGCGCTTGACTCAACAATTTCACCGATATCCTTTCCGTTGTCGAAGTTGTGATTTTGGCCATCTATTTGGCTCGCTCGGATTAGCCATCGGCTTGTAGGTTGTAGGAGGAATGGCTTGGTCGTCAAAATTCGAGCTTTCAGAAGGTTTGCCTTTCGAGCACTAGACATACTCGGGCTCATAGGGGGCCAGTGTCAGGGAAATATCATGATTGTCTTCTAAGACAATCAGACGTCTATGAAGTCAAGTCAGAATATATTTCTTCAATGTTGATCTGGTCTGACTCACGGAAAGGGCACCCACGACCATTCTTGTCGTAGATTATCCGTATGAGGTTCTAGCCTGTCTCTTGCCAGAGAACCTCTGGATTCTCGATCCCGAATGGTGTATACAAAATTTTGTGATATGAGAGTGGACGATGAGAGGCAACTCAAGTTTTCAAATGTATATATACAGACGCTCCTTCCTACGAAGCTCAATGTTTACATATCTATATGGGGCAGGCACGACCCACATCATATATGACCATATATGACATACAGTCCATGAAGTACGAGTGACCATTCTAGCTTGATGTTTCATTAAATATTATTTACTTAGGATATTAACTCCACTAGGCCTGCGTGGCTTAATCTATATGCGACAAAAAGGGACCAAAAGGAAAACATACACACGTTGATCACTCATCCGGAGACGACGGCATACCTACGCCAGTATTTCTGGAGAACGTTCCCTCTTCATGGCCCTCTCTCTCCAAACAACTACAACCATACAGGTAACTCCCAAGGAGCAAAAAATTGCCAGAATTGTCATCCACCACCCATACCCGATGCTTGCCACTGCAATAGGCGAGACAATAGTGCCAATAGCCGCAAGTATATTTCGAACTAAGTTCAAATCAGCCACGACAGAAGCGCCCACCCCAGGCCTGACATCAACAAGGAAGGGCATGATTGTTGAAGTGATAAGCATGAGTCCCAACCCAAAGAGGAACGCTCCTACTAAGGGTGCAAACCAGAAAAGTTGGTATTCAACCAACCAGCCATAGAGGAGAAGGCCAACCGGGACAAAACCAACTCCATACCACACGGTCTTGAGTCTTTCCACGGGGTTGACCTCTCCGTCATGGGTAAGCTGGTACTTGCGCAACTTCGCATCGCTGAGCTGACCACCTGCAACGCTGCCAATTGCATAACCAAGACAATTGCTGATATAGCAAAGGCCAACTTCAATGGAGGAGAAGTTATATGGAGGCGCGGAGTATGCGTATGGGAGAGTGGTGTTGAAGCAGTACAGACTTGCAAAGCAAATGCTGACATAGCATACAGATAGTGCGATCGATGGAACAAGGAGGAGTTTGAGTTTAGGTAATGGGGCAACAACATCGCGTTGAACCTTTTCAGGCCAGGATAGCGATGGTTCGGCACTTTTTTCGGTGGGTGTCTTCACCAAGGTCTCGGGCAAAGCCAACAAGATGAGTATCGCCATGGAGAATGTGAATATAGCCATGAAATATAAGTTTGATCGCCATCCAAGCCATATTTGAAGAGCGCCTCCTACAATCGGGGCAACTAGAGGCCCGATTAGAGTGCCGAGGTAGAACCATCCTAAGGCAGATCCACGGTCGGTTGAGATATAGATGTCGCTGATGACACCGGCCCCGACACTTTGAGCAGATGAGCATCCCAGCGCCTCGATCAATCGAAAGACAGTGATCAGAGGCAGTGAATTTGACACTGCGCAGATAATGACAGCAATGGCTGAAATGAGGAAGCTGAAAACCAGAACTGGTCGACGTCCATATTCTTGGCTCAACGAGCTCCACCATAAAGGCGCAATGGCTAAACCAATGAGGAAGACTGTTGTAGTTAGAGCTACTTTGGGCTCTGTTGTATGGAAATGGTCCACTAGGGTGGTGAAGGATGGAAAAAGAATGCAGGAGGCAAACGGCGCTGTGAATGCTGAGAGGGTGATGATCATGACGATGCTATTCTTTTGCCATGCTGAATGGGTTTTTGGATCATCGTGTCGTTGAGCAAAACAAAAGTGATCGAACCACGATCTACTCGGAATAATGTGAGATTTGGATTCTGACATGGCTGTACGTAGTAGTATTCCGAAAGCTCAGGATTGAACTTTTGTATGAAAGAAATGAAATGGAATTGTTTGATACCTTTTGTATACATGCTTTTCCTCTTATATATGTGAATTTCAAAGTTAGTTGGCGTAGAAAAATCAAGAGATCGGGAATTCGGGAATTTAGGAATTTGAGATTCAAATCAGCCCTATACTGATAAGAACAAAAGATGATTCGGAGAAAAGCCGAAAGCAGCCACCTAGGTAATTCGTGTTCAGAAAAAAAGCGCCACAAGCATCGGGGCGTTGGCTCCTGACGGGAACACGGCATCGGAGTCTCGTATTCCTTCCTTCTCAATATCCCGAAACCATACCTGTTGACATACTCGAGAATGAACAAAAGTTGCACTACTTGTGCGGAAGCCAAGCTTCGGTGCAAGATGCCAAGCAATGGTCGGTCTTGTGTGAGATGTGCACACAAAGGACAAACATGCACTCGGGCTGAACGAAAGAAGCGCCCCAAAAGAGCTACATCAACCCCACACACCCTGTCTTCAACGGAAAATGAGGAGCCCCAAGAAATCGTTCAGACTTTGGAGCCTATCGAACTATCATTCACGAATGTGGATATTTTCCCAGATGAGCTAGACTTCTTGACTCAATTAGCCGATATTGAGAATTCTGTTGACATGACATCTTGGATGTGGAGACCAGATATGCTCTCGGTCTCTGGGGATGACAGTAGCACTATGACCGGTGCGACCTATCCACTGATGGCCCCATATACCGCCATTCCCGAACGAGTGTTGTATCCTGACGCTTTCCGATTACCGAGTGGATACATACTCGCACTTGAAAGCAATACTACCATCCCGTTGGAGAGACTTGAAAAGTACTCGCGGCTATTCTTTACGCATTTTCAAGCTTTGTTGCCTATAATACACGTCCCCACATTTTCCTTGGCATTAGCTCCAGCAGTACTTGTCCGTGCAATATGTCTGATCGGAGCCAGGCTCGACACCGACCCTATATCATTTTCAGATGCAGGGGCTTTCTATGGATCTCTCCCGTCAATGTTTGCAAAGGGATGTCTTCATTCTGACAGAGCAATGCTAAGTTTTGAAGAATTGCAAGCACTTGTATTGTTCCAATTTGCCAGCATGGCAAATGGAGGAATTGCCGAACGAGCCGCATCACGAATGTTACACCCACTACTTATTACTGCTGTGCGTCAGGCTGGGCTCTTAAAGATCCACGGGGAGTGTACGAAAGCCACACGGAGTGCAAGCTCATGGGAAACCTGGATCCAGAAAGAATCACAAAAGCGGGTTCTTTGGGGTGTCTATGCAGTAGACTGCTATCAATCAATTCTTTGTGGTAGCCGGCCACTTCTCTCGCCATCGGAAACCCGCGCTTCTTTTCCTTGCAACAATTCAAGCTGGGATGCCTATTCTGCATCATCCTGGGCTGCTTTACCCGCACAAGACCCTTCTAGCTGTTTCTTGAGCTCGATCAAGAGTCTATTGCTTGGACAATCTCCGTCCTTGGTAAATATGACAGCCTTCGGTATGAATCTGCTTATTTTAGCTGTTCATGCCCTGCTTCTTGAAGCCCAAACTTCAATACTTCCCGTGGACCTCTCGGCTCTCCATCAAGCTCTTCGAGCCTGGCATGGTTTATGGGAAGAGTCTCAGGGACAGTTTGTTTGGAATTCTGAGCTTGAACCGGAGATGTTTTTGATCACTAATAGCCTTTCTTTGTATTATCTCGCAACTCACTTTTTAGAAAATGGGCGCCCGATATTGAGCGAGAAAGCCTATATGGAAAAGTCCACGAATTCTGGTAACCCGTTGATTATCAAAGAGCAGATCTATCAGGATGAGATGATGCGATGTGTTAGAGGAATGCTGAGGGAACTTCAGTAGCAAATTCACAAGGTGAATTTTAATGAACATAATATAATTCATATTTAACGTACTAGTCAACTCCTCAACTCAACATTCATCTTTTCTAGCACTCTTTGTCATTTTATCACAACTTCGAGCTCTGTTGTTTCAACCATGGCAAAACAGCTTCAACGACAGCTCTTGGCTGCTCAGGGAAAAGTGCATGAGCAGCATCAGTAATAACAACAGAAGTTGCTCGCTCCGGGTACAATGTGGAAGTTACATTCCACTGATTGCTAGGCTGAAACGGATCCTCCGCGGGGATCAACTCCAGAACCTGTGTATTATTCCCGCCAGTCCAGTATTCCTTCAAGCTGCCATATTCCTCTACAGCAGCGTGCTCCATGGCAAGAACATCAGGATACCACCCGTTCAACCAGACATGGGCGTCGTGACCCGGAGCAAAGAAAGCAGATTGCAAAGCCTTAAGCCGCTCAGAAAGAGGCAGCGAGGTATTACCCGCGACGAAGGGAAGTTGAGCAACATCAGTGGGTAAATCAATGCCTCCCGGAGCTGCGATGACAATGGCAGGAATTTTCTCCGGGTAAAGTACCGAGCTCACTTTTGCAAGAAATGTGCCGAACGCATGACCGATCACGACTGCTTTTCCACCACCTAGATTGTCGATCACGGCTGCGATGTCGGCTGCTAGATCTGCCAAATTGACATTGGTCATGGGGTCAGTTGACTCGAAGGTTCCCCGTGGTTGAGGACGTAATACGAGGTACCCGGCGGATACTAGCTGGTTCGTGAAATAGTTGTAGTCGTCTCCGCCATCTCTTCCGTATGAAGGGAGTAGTACCACCGTGCTTCCGGCAGCTTGGACTAGGACTTGGATGTTGGCTTGGTCGGTGCGAACGAGCTGGCTTGGCCATTTGTAAGTTGCGAGTGGTCGAGTGAAGTTTGGAAGGGCGTTTGCATAGCCAGCTAGGATCATATAGAGAATCAAGATATCCAAGGACAGATAAATGGTGAATTTAAGAAAAATTGTTCAATAGTGATAGAAGATGATCTTCTTGCATATAGAGAAACTAAAGCCTGTTATATATTCCCTTTTGTGGCCTCCATTATGAGTTGGTGCAAGTGCAAATTTTACGCCTGCATGGCGAGTCACTAATTTCCGACATGATAGTGGCGTACAGACTTCCAAAATGACATGCTACGACGTCATTAGATTAAGGAAAAAGTGCAATATAGACCCAAAGCAATCTTCATACACTTCACGCCTGGCAAGTGGATACAACAAGAGGTCGGGACTTCGGGATTTCGGGAATATAGAGCTTACATTGGGAATTTCTGCATACAGTATTTACTCAAGTGGCTGAATGAGAATAGCCATGAGCTTTTCTTTTTCTGCCTGGAAATTGCATCAGGCTTATCTGCTGTAAGGAGCTAGACGTCGGGAGCTACATCCCCTAGTATGTACGTCAACAAGCTGCTTATGTATATATTCATGAGTGCTACCTAGGTATAAGACTGCATAGGCACCTCTCTACAGAAAGCTGCAACCGCCTCGTACCCACTAATTTGAAGAGGATGGACAGTGCCTTTCCCCTAAAATAACCCTATCAAGGTTTAGATCGGTCTTTTAAAACGCATGGCGTTACTCTTTATCGTAAATCGATGGTTTTGACAGTCTGGTCAATGTAAGAAAAGAGGGGTATAGCATGCAATTATCTATTTTTCCAGTGTGCAGAATGCAATATGATGATGTACATAAAATAATTATAGAAGAAAAGTAAGTAATAGTAAATACCATCTTTTCTATTCCCCCAAGGGACAAATCGCTCAATCACTGACATCGAAACTTGTTCCGCAGCCGCAGTTACTTGTGGCGCGGGGATTATCCACAATCTTGAACTGGCTCCCGATCAATTCGGTGGTATAGTCCACAGTGCTGCCGTGCAGCAGCTCGAGCGAGGGCTCATCCATAACGACCTTGGCTTCGCCGGCTGACTCTGTTGCAGCTTCCGAAGCATCCACTTCTCCTTCAAACACAGTATCCTCTTCTGGGTCAATTTTGGAAGCCCCCTCTAGGGACATCATATATTGGAAACCATGGCATCCGCCGCTGGTGACTGTGATGCGAAGATGGTGGTATGGATTCTCTTCCTTGATGGCAGAGGGAGAGGATGTCGGATCTGTGATCTCACGGAGACGCTGCGCTGAGTTAGCTTGACGATTCAAAAAAATAGAAAACCTCCCGAAAGGAAGGGGAAGCAAAAACAAATAAAAAAAAAACATGCAACAGTGAGGATTCGCTGGTGGTCACCCACCCAACTACTAACTCACCGGCGTGTGGCTTAAGTACGGCTGAGCGGACGGGAAGCCCTGTTTTCCACACCCTATGGTCGCATGTACTTGGAAGGGCATCTGAAAGGGTCATAGCGCGGCCTACGGCCGTCCTCTGCTTGGCTGAAAGCAAGCTGACACCAAGGCAGACCCCGGCACATGACGCGCATGCAGCCCAGACAGTTCCCATCCGTCCCAGCACAAGCCAGATAGAAGAGCGAAGCAAAAAAAGGCAAATCGATAGCAAAATAATCCATTATCAACTCACCTCCACAGCCCGTGACGAAATATTAATCTTGAGGAATTGTCCATCATCTCCGGTTCTCGGGTTTTGTGTCACCTTGGTCGCCTGGTGGACGGACGAGGACGAAAAACATGCACGTTGTTGGCGGATATAGCAAGACTTTGAAGGTTGAGGTGCTGAGCGTTTGAGGAGAGGCGTACCACTTGCGATAATGCTTGGCCGTCGAGGAACGACTTCGCCGCCGGAGAATGCGGAGAGGCGCAAAACAGGTCGGGAAGTTGAGAAGAGCCGACACGTCTGTGTTTGGGATAACCAGCGGGCAGCCGTCGATGAGGCTAAATGGCGTGACATGACTGATGTGTAAAAAAATAAAATCCTTCAAGAAGAGATATCAGAGAGATGAAGAATCCTTGGTATCAAATCATTCCGATTCCGATTACATTGGGTTAGTCAGTTCACCAGTAATGCCATCCATTGGTCAAACAAAGTCGGAAGGTAAGGGCAGAATAATGACTGCATGGTGGGGGACTGCAGATAAATGTATCAACCTTGTATGAGACAGTTGAGGTTCTAATTTCATAAAGTTTTCGGATTTTTGAATCAGACTACCGCATTTCAAGCACTATCTCAGCCTGGTTCTGTCATCATGGGTTCCCGACAGCATATTCGGGACATCAAAAGCGGCTCTCCGCTTCACTATATGGATGACATCAGGGCTTACAAGAAGGAGTATGCGGAAGCTCTTGATGTGCAAGATCCCCTTCGGAATTTCCGGGATGAGTTCATCATTCCATCTAAGAATGATCTCAAGCGGAAGTCTCTGGCAGTAGACGAGAGTGTGTACCGGAATCTCTTATATACCCAGAAGTCCGTTCTAATCTTTGGATTTCTTTCTTCTCATTAGGCAATGAAGCGTCTGATGCAAAATGCATCTACTTCTGTGGTAACTCACTGGGTGTCCAACCTCGTAGCACCCAGAAATATATCGAGCAGTACCTAAGAACTTGGGCAACGAAAGGTGTAACCGGGCATTTTGTGCCGCATGATGATCAATTGCTACCTCCCTTTGTCGATGTTGACACTGCAGCCTCCAAGCTTATGGCTCCAGTTGTCGGTGCCTCTCAAAGTGAAGTGGCGGTTATGGGCACCTTGACTGCCAATTTGCACCTGTTAATGGCAAGCTTTTATCGCCCGACTAAAGAGAAGTATAAGATCATACTGGAGGGCAAGGCTTTTCCCAGTGACCATGTACGTCATTTTAGTTGTGTGCTTCAAATTTGGACTTCGTTCCTGGCACTAACCTGGGTGCAATTCAGTATGCGGTTGAGTCGCAGCTCCGCCATCATAACTTCGATCCAAAGGACGGCATGGTTTTGATTGAACCTAAGGATTCAGACCATCCTACTCTGAGCACAGAACAAATCATCAAAGTGATCGATGACAACGCTTCCAGCACCGCACTCATCCTTCTCTCAGCTATTCAATTCTACACAGGGCAGTACTTCGATATTGAGCGGATCACGGCTCACGCCCACTCTCAAGGCATACTAATCGGGTTGGACTGCGCTCATGCTGCCGGCAATGTGGATTTGCGACTTCACGATTGGAATGTGGATTTTGCAGCCTGGTGCAATTACAAGTATCTCAACAGCGGACCGGGTGGAATAGCAGGACTATTTGTCCATGAACGTCACGGCTCTGTAGATGAGAAACAGCCCGAAAATGACGAGACATTCCGGCCTCGACTCTCAGGCTGGTGGGGTGGAGATATCAAAACGCGCTTCAACATGGAAAACAGTGAGTATCCGATTCTAATGTATACATAAAGTATGCGATACTAACGAATATAGAATTTCTGCCACAACCTGGTGCAGCTGGATTCCAGCTGTCGAATCCCTCTGTTTTAGACATTAACGCAGTTGTCGCATCTCTCGAAATATTCAACCGGGCAACCATGAAGGAAATTCGACAGAAATCCCTTCACATCACGGGATATCTAGAACATCTTTTGATAAAGTATCCTCTAGATGCAGCCCCAGAAGACAAACCATTCACTCTCATCACGCCATCAAACCCAGCCGAGCGAGGTGCTCAACTCAGTCTACGCCTTCAGCCAGGATTGCTAGATCATGTTCTACACTGCCTGGAGGAGAATGGAGTTGTCATTGACGAGAGGAAACCCGATGTGATTCGCATCGCCCCTGCACCATTGTATAACACTTACACAGAAGTGTGGGAGTTCTGTCAGATCTTTTTACAGGCGTGCAAAGAGGCTGTCAAGGCGCGTTGACCGGTCTGTTGTGTACTATTGTATTGTTTTAACTGCATATATTTAGATTCATCTACGGGGAAGTCAAACTGAATAATCATTTCTTGCTTTGAATATATATTTGGTTATATCACTCTAGAGTTGGGTAATCCTACTTCGTATAGATGTATTCCGTAAAAGGTAGGGATCAACCTTAACAGAAGCTTCGGCTTCTCGGCACGCCATCAAGTGTTATCTCCGCAAATGGCGATATCCCGCTTACGGGCTAGCGAGGGAAAAAATGGAGTCATGGTTGTTTTTCTGTCTCCAAGGCCTTTTAATTATCCTTTTTGGTTTGGACCCTGACAGCCTAGATGGCGGAAAAGGGAATAAAACAATCATCTGTTTCGCACCCAGAATCCCGTCAAGATGTGAATGCGGGAACGAGAAACGGGGATCTTGCTGATGTCGACTATTCAGTCTTCACAGTCAGTCAGCGTAGGTATATCGTTTTCATGGCCTCTTGGGCTGGGTTCTTCTCGCCTGTCTCTTCCCAGATATACTTCCCCGCATTGAACACCTTGGCGAAAGATCTGCATGTATCAAATTCGTTGATCAATCTGACTTTGACGAGCTATATGGTAAGGCTTCTTATATTTTTAGAGCACATTTCGTTTTATAACTTGACTAATGGGAATACAGATTTTTCAAGGGCTGTCGCCCATGTTCATTGGTGACTTTGCGGACAAAGCTGGCCGACGACCAGCATATATCGTGTGCTTCACCATCTATATCGCAGCCAATATCGGCCTTGCCCTGCAAAACAACTATGCAGCTCTTTTCGTTCTCCGGTGCTTGCAAAGTGCAGGGAGCAGTACTACCATTGCCCTCTCATCGGGGGTGGTATCCGATGTAGCCACTGCATCACAACGAGGTTCCTATATGGGATTCGTTACGGCAGGATCTCTCATGGGCCCTTCAGTCGGCCCAGTAATTGGAGGCCTATTGTCTCAATATTTGGGCTGGCGGGCGATCTTCTGGTTTCTGACCATTTTTGCAGCAGCTTTCATGGTTCCTTTCCTGGTTTTCTTCCCGGAAACTGCTCGTGGGGTTGTCGGTGATGGTTCACTGCCTCCTCAAAAATGGAATATGTCCCTGATCAGCTACCTGAAGTTCCGAAAGGCTTGCAAGGAAGGCGTCATATCTACGGGAATTGCATCCAAACAGAAACTCAAGTTTCCCAATCCTTTCCAGACGCTTGCCATTGTATTCCAGAAGGATACCAGTCTCATTCTCTTCTGTAATGCTATTCTTTTTGCTGGGTTCTACGACGTGAGCGCAAGCATTCCTTCCATCTTCAATGAGCTCTACGGGCTAGACGATCTCCAGGTCGGTCTCTGCTATATTCCGTTTGGCCTCGGTGCGACCATTGCTTCCGTTGTCAACGGCAAGTTCTTGGACTTCAATTACCGCCGGCTCGCAAAGCAATTGAACTTCCCACTAACCAAGAACCGCGAAACTGACTTGCGAAACTTCCCTATTGAAAAAGCTCGTCTTCAGATCGCATTCCCTCTTCTCGCATTAGGAAGCATCTCTGTCCTCGTTTTTGGCTGGTTCTTGAACTATGGAATTCATCTTGCTGCTCCAACCTGTATTCTGTTCCTCATGGGATTGACATTGACGGGGGCATTTAATACCATCAGTACACTCCTGGTAGACCTATATCCAACACAAGCAGCCAAAGCCACCGCTGCCAATAATTTCGGGCGTTGTTTACTGGGAGCTGGCGCGACGGCACTCATCGATCCTATGCTTTCTACCATGGGCCGGGGCTGGTGTTTCACATTCATCGCATTGGTGATGATGGCTACGACACCACTGCTCTTGATAGTGATTCGAAAGGGGCCAGCTTGGCGTGAAGAGCGTCGTCTGAAAGAGGAAGCTAAGAACGCCGAGGACAGGAACGCCTCAAGAAGTCAGAAGTGACCAAGGGTTATTCCCTTAGATATTAATGACCGTCATACACTACATTTTTCCTGATGATGCCCTTTGAGAAACCTGCGTCCAAGAAATGCACAATTATTGAACTCTTCAATCAATGATAGCCAACGTATTCGCTGCCATGATAAGCTCATGTTCCAAATTGCATTATCGTCAACGGACGCATTCTAACAGTGTCTTTCCAACATTTAACCGTGCTCCAAGCCTATCGCATCAGCTGAAAGCAAAATAAGCCCGCTCCAAAGGCTGTCGTTCCGACTCCCATGCCAACCAATCCGATCTCGTAGTTCTGGACACATGTTAGCAAAATCAGCACTGTCAAAGCTGGAGAGCAAGACTTACGGCAATAGGCCCATCGCATTGACCTTCCAGACACCCAAACACAATAATACCAGCTGCATCAACATGTAGACCACTTTGACTCCAAGCATACGCGAATGTGTCGACGGGGTGTCGTACTTGGCGAACGCCGCATTGATATTGATCATACCCTGGATGGGACCCTTAAACAACATGAGGACCATCATGATGCTGAAAATCTGAAGACTGTTGCCAGACATGTACATCATAATGGCATTCATTGGGATCTGCTTGGACGGGGCGATGGCAATCTCCCACGCTTTCTTCATCTTAATCGTGTCGGTCTCGTCAGGCCTCTTCGTGGTAGATTGTTGCTGCTGTTGCTGGCGCTAAAAAAATATCGCATTAGTATTTTTGTATGGTGTTATGATTTGTGATGGAACTCACCTGCTTGCCTCCCCGACTACTCGAGAAGCCTGGAGGGTCAGGGATGCTGGATGCGGCCTTTGAGAGGCACGGCATCGGGGAGTTCAGTGAAACAACCCATTGCGGAGGAGGAGGTGGTGGTAGACGGGCTTGTGACATAATTTAGATAGTAAATGTGGTGTGGGGGGAGATGATCTTAGAAGACTCAAACGACGGGGGGAGGAGGAAAGTTGCTGAGTAGGGAGGTTCCCTCCGCAGTGGCTACTCCGCCTTCAATTCTCCTTTCCCTCTTTCTCTCTCTTTATTTCCAACTTCATTAATCTTTCTAATTCTTTTCAATCTATTGTTTGAGAAAGGACAATGTCCAATCGCTGAT